CCCTTCTTCCTCCCTCCTTCTTCCTTCCTTCCACCCTCCTTCTTCCCTCCTTCCTTCCTCCTTCCTCCCTCCTTCCTCCTTCCTTCTTCCCTCCTTCTTCCTTCCTTCCTTCCCCCATCTCCTTCCTTCCTCCCTCCTTCCTCCCTCCTTCTTCCCTCCTTCCACCCTCCTTCTTCCTTCCTTCCTTCCTCCTTCCTCCCTTCCTTCCTCCCCCCCTACATCCTACCTTACTTCCCTCCTTTCCTCCTTCCCTGTTTCCCTCCGTCCTTTCACGAACATTCGAACATTTCTTAAGCACCATCCCTGTCTGGCAGGACACCGCTGAGAGACCCAGTTCTCGGTCTCGTGAACATCCTGTTGCTGTGCTGCCAGACACAGCCGGCCCAGGGCGGCTGCAGGGGTGGCCCCCAGGTGTGGGTGGGGGAGTACAGGAGCTGCAGGCAGACAGGAGGCCTCCCACCCCCGGTTCCTGGCAGGGGCAGGAAATGCTTCAGTCAGTGGATGGGAAGCGGGGAGAGGAAGACGGTGTCCACCTGTGTCCCTACTCTGTGCTAAGCCGCGTGCTGGCTGCTTCCCCCGGGCTGGGCGATCTATGAGCCTCACGCTCGCCTGGACGACCTTGTGGGGTGGTGATCTCGGCCCTTCTCTTCACAAAAGCAGAGACGAGGCCCAGAGAGGTAAAGCAGATGACCCGAGGTCATTGGGCTAGCAGCTCAGATCCAGAACCTGCCCTGCTGGGCCCGTCCACTGCACACACAGATCTGCAGGGCCTCCTGGGCCTCTGAAGCATGGGGCCTGGGGGGATGGAGACCAACAGGACGCAGGTTGGGGCACAGAGCGGTGGACCGGGGGCAGTGAGGGGGCCCCTCCGTGTGCTGTGGGGTGGAAGCAGGTGGAGCCCAGCTCATGGGAGGTGAGTCGAGGCTCTGGAGAGGGTTAAGTCTTGGGGAGAAGTGAGCCCCATTGAGGTGTCTGAGGATGCCTGGTGTGGGCCCCTCTCTGGTCTGATCATTTCTCCAGGGCAGTGATGGGGGCGATCTTGCCCACCCTACACTGGAGGGATAGACAGATGGACTCCACAATGATGAACCAACTGTTACCCCAGAAAGACCTAGCAGAAATGTACCCTAAAACCAAATATCTAGACTAGTGGTTCTCACTGGGGGGTGATTTTCCCACCCCCCGGACCCCAGGGGACATTGGGCAACGCCTTGAGACATTTTGGGTTGTCACAACTGTGGGTGCCCCTGGCATCTGGGGTGGAGCCCAGGGATCCTGCTGGACATGGTACAGTGACAGGACCGTCCCCCCAGCAAAGAGTCATGTGTCCCGAGATGCCAGCAGTGCTGAGGTTGAGAAGCCCTGCTTCGCAGGACTGGAGAAGGCAGCTGGAGTGGGAAGCCCAGCTGGGGAGCCAGGCCCGGCAGGTGGATGGAGGGATCAGGGCCAGGGTTCCCAGGCTCGCCCCTGGGAGGCAGGGACATGGTGGGCTGGATAAGCCTGTTGGACTCTTGGTGAGCGGCTCCCCAGCTCAGAGCCTTTTCCTCGTTTGCAAACTGAAGACGGAATATCTGCTTTCCGGTATCATCTGTGAGTAAAGCACGCCCCTACATATAGCTTATACCTGCTCCTCCGTCATGGTTTCCTGTGCGTACGGCTTATACCTGCTCATCCATCGCAGTTTCCTGTCTGTCTCTCCTCCTTCCTCTCCCCCTGTCCAGGCCCGGCCCCCCGGCTGCGCCTGGCCGATGGCCCCCACGGGTGTGCTGGCCGCCTGGAGGTGTGGCACGGCGGGCGCTGGGGGTCTGTGTGTGATGACGCCTGGGACCTGCGCGATGCCGCCGTGGCCTGCAGGGAGCTGGGCTGCGGGGGTGCGCTGGCTGCCCCCGGAGGCGCCTTCTTTGGGGAGGGGGCTGGACCCATCCTCCTGGACGATCTTCGGTGTCGGGGAAACGAGACGGCCTTGCGATTCTGCCCCTCGCGGCCCTGGGGCCAGCACGACTGCCATCACCGAGAGGACGCTGGGGCCGTGTGTGACGGTGAGGGGGACACGGGGGAGGGGGAGGGGCGGAGGGGAGCCTGGAGGGGAGTCACAAGAAGTGGAGGCTGTGTATTTTCCGGACATATATCCCACGTGCCTCGCCCTCTCTCCAACCCAACTGCCCACTTGCCCCGTCTTCTCCTCCTCCGTGAAGCCTCCTCCTTCATCGGGATCCTGGGATGTAGGGTTCACGAGCCGCCCGGCAGTCCGGTGGTGCGTGGTGATCACCTCTTCCCCTGCCACAGGTATGCCTCTGGGATACGTCCCTCCCACGGCCCCCGCAGTGGACAGCAACAGCTCGACGCCCAGGAAGGTGGCATCTGGGCCTCCGCCTCCCACAGTGAGCCAGGCCCCATGGACAGCAGGCATTTTACCGCCCCCAGTCTCCCCTACTGCCCCTCAGGAGCCTGGGCCTGAAGCTGGTGAGTCCATTCTGCTCCCAAGAAAATGGGGTCTTAGCTCCTGTTTCCTCCCCCCAGTCGGCTCCCAGGTGCTCTTTCTCATCGGGGGCAGAGAAGGGTGAAGACATGAGCACAGAGCCCCAAGCTCAGAAGGGCCGTGCTTGGTTTAATGCTCTGCTGTCACCGTCTTGAAATGAAGAATAATTTTGAAGGCTGCCTCCTCTTGTCAGATACCGAAAGGACTGGATGGATGATGGCTGTTGTTTTAAAATACAGGCTTTATTATTGTTCAGGTGTGGTGAGACCAGCAGATCAGGAGACGACTGTCGTTGGAAAGATAGTTGGTTTCTTGCAGTCCCCGAGAGGAGGGGGCACAGCACGCCACCCGACGCACGGCCACTTGGGGAGGCACCAGGGCCGATCAGGAGGCAGAGGGAGTGAGGGGAAAGCGTGGGCAGGAGCCTTGATTGTGGCTTCTGTGGGAGGAACCGGCGAGGCCCGGTGGGCAGGCTTGGGATCGGCTGGTTTGGGATGGGCTAGTTTGAATCATTTCAGTGGGATCTGGATTGGCTGGTTTGCAGACGGAAGGCACACTCCAGGAGTCCCCATCTCTAGGAATTAGCGAACTCTGGGAGGGGCAGTCCCTGCAGAGTCAGCAGGGCCCCCAGATGTCAAAGCCTCAGAAATACGGAAAATAAAAAGGCGTCATTAAGACAGCTGGCTCCTCAAGGTTGGAAAAAGCTGAAAAAAGTAGGAGCTCGATCACGGTTCCTGAGGCCTTTTCCCCCTTTTCCTGAATCGTAATAATAGTAATAACAGCAACGACTGCCATTTGCGCAGCACTCACTGGCCGCATGTGAGCGGTGCTGTTCCAAGCCCCCAAACATGTCCTCTTTGGGTACCTCTCCCTCCGCTTACCCACAGGGGCTGTCTGGGCTCCATGTTACAAATGAGGCCCCACAGCCACAAAATGGAAAAGCCAGGACTCAAGCGAAGGCAATTTGTTCCAGAGCCCACATTATTTTTTTTTTTATTGTGGTAAAATATAATAACATAAAGTCGATCATTTTAACCATTTTAAGTGTACAGTTCAGTGGTATTAAGTACATGCACGTTGTTATGCAGCCGTCACCACCATCCTTCTCCAAAACTTTTTCATTGTCCCAAACAGATCCCCAGACCCATTAAACACTCCCACCCCCACTCCCCAGCCCCTGGCACCCGCCCTTCTGCTGTCCGTCTCTGTGAATCTGACTCCTCTAGTGCCTCGTAGAAGTAGAATCATCCAGTATTGGTCTTTTTGTGTCTAGCTTATTTCACTGAGCATAACGTCCTCCAGGTTCATCCATGTTGTGGCATGTGTCAGAATCTCCTTCCTTTTTCAAGGCTGAATAATATTCCATTGTACGTGCACACCACCTTTTGCTTATCCTGTCATCTGTCGGTGGACAGTCAGGCCGTTTCTGCCCTTTGCCTACTGTGAATAGTGCTGCTGTGAACGTTTGCTGTGAAGTATCTGTTTGGATACTTGTTTTCACGTTATTTGGGGTATATCCCTGGAGTGGAATTTCTGGATCATGTGCTCATTCTCTTTATCCCTGTGCCTCAGGCACACGATGGTGCGGTGCAGGCCTCAATGAATGCTGCTGGGAAGGAAGGATGGATGAATGGGGACAGCCCAGATGGACCAATGGGTGAATGAGTCGAAGGAGGAGGAGGGAAGGTGGAGGAAGTCTCAGAGCAGCCTCCTCGACTCTCTAATTCTCTGGGTCTCTCCACCCGCAGGGTCCCCCCAGCTGCGCCTGGTGGCCGGGCCCAGCAGGTGCTCAGGCCGGCTGGAGGTGTGGCATGGCGGGCGCTGGGGGACGGTGTGTGACGACAGCTGGGACCTGCGGGACTCGGCCGTGGTCTGCCGGGAGCTGGGCTGCGGTGGACCTCGGCAGCCAGACCCCACGGCTGGCCGCTTCGGCTGGGGTGCCGGCCCCATCTGGCTGGACGACGTGGGGTGTGTGGGCACCGAGGCTTCGCTCTTCCAGTGCCCCGCCGCTCCCTGGGGGAAGCACAACTGCGCTCACAATGAGGATGTTGGAGTTGCCTGCACAGGTAAGGAGGCCCTCACCACCCGCTGGCCCCGGGAGGGCTTCCTGGAGGGAGCTAACGTCTGCCCTAATGTCTACTGAGTGCCCGCCTCCTCAGCCCCTGCCCTGGGCTGTGTGTTTTCATACATGTGACCACATTCACTCCTCACAATAAGTCCAGTTTGGTGGATGTTATGCCTCTTTTACGGATGGAGACGCTGAGACACAGAGAGGTTAGGTAACTTGCCCAAGGTCACACAGCAACTACGTGGCAGAGCTGGGATTCTTTCTCGTCCCCCTCCTCCCAAGAATCAAGCAAGTCTCCCACACAGAAAGGAGCTTGGTCCTCCCCAAGATGAAAGGAAATAGCTGTAGCGGCACCGGGAGATGGAGAGAAGCCAAAGTGAGGGCCAGCGGCAAAAAACCCAGGCATTGCGTTTGCCGTTCATTTGCCAACATTGACCGAATACCAGCCACTGAGCTAGGTGCTGGGTCCTCAGAATTTAATGCACCGGGCCCTGGCCTTTGGGAAGCCCACAGCTTCCGAGGGAAAGGGACGCACCCACAAATTGTTGCAAGCCCGCGGGACACTTTATAATTTGGGAGGTCCCCACAACCACCCTCAGGTTCCATAATGTCCTAGAAGGCCTCACAAAAATCACAAAAGCTGTCATACTCAGGATTATGGTTTATGGCAGCAAAAGGACACAGATTACAATCGGCCCAGGGGAGAGGCACAGGGGCAGGGCCAGGAGACCCGCCTGGAGCTTCCAGCCGTCCTCTCCCAGGGAGTCGCGCAGACGGCACTTAATTCTGCCAGCCGCGACACGTGAGGACACACAGGCTGTGTTGCCAGCCAGGGAAGCCCTGCCAGCGTTGGTGTCCAGATTTTATAGGAGTTCGGTCTGTCATGAGACGTGGCTGCCTGCCTCGTGGCTGTCCATAAATCACATCGTGAGCACAGACTGCCTGGGTGGCCCTGGGGCCCCAGGGAAAAAACGCTCTTATCGAGCAGGACATTCCAAGGGCTTCGAGGTTACCCCCAGGAGCCAGGGGCAAAGGGCCAAGCCTTTCTTTGGGCAAGGTTAACCCTTTCCTGCACACGTGTGCTCATCAGACAGCTGTGAGCTGGACAGTGGTGGCGTGAAGGATGGAGTCGTCCATTCTGCCTGAAGCTGAGGCCCTCCCCCCTTTCCCTCTCCTCCGAGGGCCATGGGAGCCACAGAAGGGTTTTAAGCTGGGGAGTGACCTCGTACCACTCTGGTGGTGGGTGAGAGCTGGACGGGGAGGAAGGGAGACCCGTCAGAAGGTACAGGAAGCGAGGCCGCAGCGGGGGAGACTGAGAGGACAGGTTGGGTGTGACAGGGGCGAAGGGGGTCGGTCCCATCACGATTGTAAGTGACCAGAAGGCAGGGGACAGTGTCTGGTTGGGTGGACCACAGTATCCCGAGTCTGCCACAGCGCCTGGCTCACAGGAGATGCTCCATAAATGTTAGTGACATGAATGAATGAATGACGAATGAACGAATGGGAACTTGATGACTGACTGTGGAGGGGCCATGAGAGAGGTGGGGCCTGGATGGACGAGCCTGGCATCACGGTGTCTGCCATCTTCCCTGTCCTCCTCTCTCACCTTCCAGGGACCCCCGGCCTGGACTCCATTTCAGACCCCTTCAGTTGGAGCTGGATCCCTGGCCTGGGTAGAGACCCGGATGCCTGGCCCCCAGGGGAGCTGGCCACCAAGCCCTCCGCGAGGCTGACCCCCAGTGTCCCCGAGAAGACCGCCACCAAGGCCCCTGGGAAAGTGCCCAAGAGCACGAAGAAGTGGGTGACCAAAACTGCAAAGAGACCCACCACTCAGCCCCCTGTGATGCCAACCACTAAATACGCCAGGGCCCTGGGCACCCAGATGCCCCCCGACCAGACCTCACGGACCACCACAACCCTGACCGCTGAGGCCTCCCGAAGACCACCCTCCGAGTTCACCACAAGGCTCACCACTGAGGCCCCCCACAGGCCGACCTCACACACTACTGCCACGCGGACTCCCCGGACCCCCCGAGAACGGACCTCTAAGACCGTGGCCACGCCAACCACTCAAAGCCCCCGAGAAACGACCTCTGAGGCCGTCATCAAGCGAATCCCTCAGGCCTCCATGGAGCCATCAGCCGAGATCCCAGCGGAAGGTTCTCCAGAGTCATCCAAAGAGCCAGCCCCCTCCCCCACTGGGAGCACGGCTGGGGGATCCGGTGAGTGGACCGAACGTGAAGGGGCGAGGCCGACCCCTGCTGACCCCTCCTGACCTGGGACCTTCCTTCCGCTGCAGGCCCGTTCCGGGTTCGTCTGGCCGATGGGCCCAACCAGTGTGCCGGCCGGCTGGAGGTGTGGCATGCTGGACGCTGGGGAACAGTGTGTGATGACAACTGGGACCTGCGGGACAGCACCGTGGCCTGCTGGGAGCTGGGCTGTGGAAGGGTCCGGCCCCGAGTGGGCAAAACCCACTACGGCCCCGGGACCGGGCCCATCTGGCTGGATGACGTGGGCTGCAAGGGAAGCGAGACCTCACTGAGTGACTGCCCTGCCAAGGCATGGGGACAGCACAACTGTGACCACGAGGAGGACGTGGGGCTCACCTGCACTGGTACCTGGGACAGCCGGGGCTGGTGGGCAGGGGCATGGAGTTGGGCGGTGGGGGGACCCAGAGTCGCTCCAGAGGTTCTGGAAGGGGAGCTGGGAGTAGCAGCAAGGACCTCTGAGAGGGGACAGAAACGGGGGCATGGGGCTCAACCCTCCCCCAACTTCTCCCAAGGCTACGCAGACGAGGAGGATTATCCCGCCTGGACCTGGGACCCCACCTCGGGAGAGGACCTGGCCAAGGGGACCACCGCTGCAGGGCCACCTGGACACGCTCTCTCCTCGGGCAGCACCGGGAGGCCAGGGGCCTCCTCCCCAGCAACCAGGTGCCTTCCGGGCACAGGTGAGGCGTGTGGCTAGGGTGGGGAGGGGTTCCCTGCAGGGCTTCCGGAAAGACCCTCCTAAATGAGCCAGCCTGGGTCTCAGAGACCTGGACAGGTTTTCCTCGGCTCCAGAGACCCTAAAAACGTTCCTTCCTTGGGCTCTACTGCAACACTCTCCTCCAGATCCTAGAGGAGACCCCTGTGCATCTCTGAGAATCAGACCAGGCTCCACAAAGCCTGAGCCCACGGTCCTCCCACAAACCCAGTGGGGCCTCCAGGAATCGGCCGTGATACACGAGCCTGTGCCCCTCGATCCAGAGGAAATCCCCCTACCCCCCGGGCTGAGGTCCACCCTGTCACTATGTGGTCACCCCACCCGAGCTCCTTCAAACCGGTTTTCACAGCGCATGCTCTGGTCTGCGTTGGGCTACAGCTCAGAGGTGGGGTGGGGACCCATGGATTGAGGGTTCTCTCCCTAACCCATCTGTTTCCTGCCTGTCCCCAGCCTGACCCCCTTCCCCTGGCCAGCAGGGCAGCTTCCAGCCCCACGGCTCTGTCCCCCTCTGCTCCGTGGCCCCTGTCTTGCTGTCACCTCTCTCCTTCCATCTCTGCCGCCCCCCCCGGGGCCTTGCCCGCCTCAGCCCCATGTTGTTGCTGCCTGAGCGTTCTCTTGCCAGTTTCTCTGCCCTGCCTTCTTCAAGTGCCTGTGCGCCCGCGTGTCTGTGTGTTCTCTGTGTCTCTGTGTGTCTATGTGTCTGTCTATGTGTGTGTCTGTGTGTGTCTCTGTGTCTGTGTGTCTATGTGTGTCTCTCTGTCTATGTGTGTCTGTCTTTGGGTGTATCTATGAGTCTGTCTATGTGTGTGTGTCTGTGTTTGTGTCTCTGTCTGTGTCTATGAGTGTGTGTGTCTCTGTATGTGTGTGTCTATGTGTGTGTCT